TTTCTTGTCCAGTATTTTAATATTTATTTTAATATTTTAAGATAACATATATTATTGATTTTTGTCCTAAACGTAATCCATTAACTAAATGTCAATTTTTTTTTTTTGCAAATCTCACTGGTAAAAGGGAAAACAACTCCTCAAATATATAATTTTATTTTTTATTAAAAAGACTTTTGAAGAGTGACAAGCCCCATCCCGCTCACATATCCCTATTTTTTAAATCTGTAGTAATAGAAGTTTCAAATAAGTCAGTTTGCAGCATGCATTTTTAACTGGATAATCCATTTCAACATTTTTGTTAATTTGACTATTATCTGCTACAGTTAGAAGGAGCATACATATACGTATAGTTCATACATTGAATTATAACTCTTTTGATTCACAGCCAGCATGAGAATTGGTTGAGAAGCTTATTCCATTCCATTTGGGGACACGATATAATAAAACTGCCACTATTTTTCTGTTTCCATTTCAAGCCCCAGTGCAAACACAGCATTGAACATGCAGTGATAATGTGTTTCATGCAGTGCTCACACAAAAACAACAGATAGATCACCACTACCTGGAGGGTCTGAACTTGCTGGCCTGAGGCAGATGCCACCTGAGCCTCAGTCTGCAACTGGACAGCAGTCACACCGCCCTGCTGCTAGGAACAGGAATAGGAAGAGCTTGAAACTTGGCAGGAGGAAATGCTCAAGACAAGATTAAAAAAAATAAACTGCCAGAAAAGACAACAGGCCCTACAAGGTGGAATGAGCGAGTCCATTTCTAATGTAGTAGCCTACCCATGTTTAATCTGCATATATTATTCTCGGGTCAAAAAGATAATATATACACACCCTTTCGCAGTGCAAAGTTTGGAAGTTCTAAATAAGGACAGAAAAGAAATAGATGAATTACTTGTGGCTTCTGAAGGGAAGAAATCTAAACACACTGATATTGTATTGTGCCTAAATCAGTGTATGCCTTGCACTGTGACCTCTCTCAGAAAAAAAGCACTGAAATGTAAGAAATTTAAGAAACAGACAAGATAATAAAAAAACCCAGTATAAGCATAACCTAATTTACATTAAACCAAGAGATATCTAACTTTATACGTAGTACTGTAGTTAAGTATTATGCAGACATTATTCACAAACAAAACATTACATTAGTGTTAGAGCTGGCCAAGGAATAGACATACCATTTAGTTTTCATAATTATGCTTTAACGTATAGAGATTAAATGTGCCTTTGTAGGGCTATGCAAACCATATGGAAGTACAATTCATTTTGGCAGAAATTCTGGCAGAAGTACCCTGTGTGCACATATACAGGCAAAAACATTGGGGAGGGGGCATGATTGCTTTTACACTCAAAGAAGTGATGCTTCTTTTGAGCAAAAAGAGTAACACAATATTTTGCACAGTTCTAACAGTGAGTATGGAAGTAACTATTCTTCTGGGCACTTAAAACTGTTAAGAACCAACATACTGAAATCTGAATTACAAATAACTATCATACCTGTTGCTGTATTTGTCCAGCCTGCACAACTATCTGCTCTGTTGAGCTACTGCTGTTTGTGGTGTACTGCTCCATAGTTTTCTGTATCAATTCTTTATCCAATCTTCAATCAGAAACCTAAAAGAAAACATAGAACATTCTTGTCAGTATTGAGTGCAAATTATCTGGGAACCCTAAAATAATGAAGAGGGCTGAACTGCAACATAGTAAAATGGTGGAAATTGAGAAACAAATTATTTCCAGGTAAAGCAGAATTTCAAAAGCGAACATCACTAGTGGCATTAGGGCAGATGACTGGGTTAAAGTTCTGGGTCTCTAGAAGTTATGAAAAGGATTCTCTTCTCCCACTTACCAAACAATTTTTTTACTATAGATATTATTGCATTTATTACTCAATTTATACCTTGCTTATCATCTTGGAAATTCAAGAATGCACAGGGTTTTTACTCATTTTACCCCCATCAACAATAGGCAATGTAATAGGCACTGTTCAGTGGGAAATTTGGTTTACATCCTCTTGGTTAAATTCTGTCAACAACAAACACCTAGTAATTCAACTTCCTACACATCAGTTCTAAGTATATCGGCTAAGTATATGGTGGCTATAAATTAGATTATTATCTGCAGGTAATTAGGTTTGGAGAAGAGTGAAATAGTGGAAGTACCTCCAACAGATCCAAGCATGATGTAGTTTGAAGGAGTAGGACTACAATGCTTCAGGCAAACAACATTCAAATATTCAGATCTTCTGATTAATATTGCAGGACACTGCCAGTGCTAATTTAGTCAAACTGAAATTGTTTTTCATTAAATGTATTTGTACAAGACACTATATTTCAGCAAATCCTACTGATAAGCTGAAAACAGAATGGGTCTGACTTCCTTCTAAATTCAGTTGTGAGGCCAAGGAGGAGACAAGCAGGCTATAGATTGTGAGATTTTGTATTAATGAGTGGAACAATTTGCTTCCAGAAGTTGGGGGTGCTCCAACACTGGAGGTTTTAAAGAAAAGATTGGACAGCCATTTGTCTGAAATAGTATAGGGTTTCTGCTTGACCAGGGGGTTGGACTAGAAGACATCCAAGGTCCTTTCCAACTGTTATTCTATTACTAGTAAATTCTACTCTGTTTTCAGCAGAAAAATGATGCACATTTGTCAAATTGCAGATAGCCAATGGAAAACTATTGTACTTTAGCCTTACATTTGAAATATCACCTTCCTTTCTCTATTTTAACTACATGTTAAGCTTACTCGCATATAAAGTTATTTTGATTAGCTTTTTTTAAAAAAAGCCAACAATACAAATTCTAGACTGAGCCACAAAGCATGATCTCTGTAAGCTTTTATGTTCAGTGGTATAATAAACAAATACAGAACATAATGAAAGCACAAAACCAAAACAAATCTATCATTCCCTAACATTGAATTTAAGAAGTCCTATATAGTAATCCTCTTTGTCATAAGGAATTATGTTGAAAGCCACTAAATTATTTTGTACAGGAAATACATAAAAGGATTTCACACACACACAAAAAATAGAATAAGTTGCCATAAGGTTATTCTAACATGACAGGAGAAAACATGCCTTTACTCCACCGTTTATTGAAAGGCTCTTCTTTCGGGTTACCGGTCAGCCTATCCAATATACATTTGTAGTAGTTATGTGAGCAGTTTACAACTGGCATAAGCAGCAGTGGCTTTCATCCGAGGCAGATTATTTTAGCAGAACTGTAACACGATATGCAAGGAAAGCCCCTTTGTTTTTTGTCATGGGAAAAAACAGCTATGAAGGGGCCTTCTCGGCTACAATACAGTGTATCGATCTCGATCGAAGGCGAAATTTTAGAGGCAAAAATTTGGCAGAGCGGCTGACGGAGAAGCGCAGCGCTCTGAGCCCCGCGGTGTTCGGTTACAGTCCGTGCCCTGAAAGGCGTGCGAGCGAAACTGACCTCCAGGGCCAGAGGCCGCCAAACACAGGATGGCGAGCCCCTTACACAGGCCCCTGGAAGCCGCCGCGTGATGCCACCAGAGGAAACCCCCCACGGGCTTTCTCTCGTTCCCTTCCTCCAGCCTAGGCCACACAAAGTCATCTCCGAAGGTCCTCCGGCGGTCCCGCGGGGACCGGGCCGAGCAAGACGGGACTAGCTAACCCTACCCGGCCCAAACAGTGATATCCCCGTTCCCACGTCAGCCACCCATCCCACTTCGATTCAGGTTCCGGGCGCCAACGGGCCACAGCCACTCGCTGCCCCAGCGCTCGCCCAGCCCTAGCCCGCACGCGGCCTTCTGACTGGCCACTCGGCCCCGCCAATCCCGGCTCTTGGGCCGGCGCTCGGGGGCTCCATATTGGCTGCTCGAACTCACCGTGCCTTGCTCCCCCGGTTCGGGTCCCGCTCTGATTGGCTCCGCCACCGGTCCCCGAAACCCAATCAGCGCCTCCACTCAGCCGCCGCGCAAAATGGCGGCCAACCCCCGAAGCCCAACAAAGAGAAGGCGAGGGTGCCCTCGCGCAGGCGTACTAGAAAAGTTCCTCCCGCGGATGCTTGCGCTGGTTTAAAACTGCACGCATGCGTTGGCTTCTTTCGAACTGACGGGTGCGTTTGGACCGTTTCTGTTCTCTTTCAACCCTTCCATTCCCGAGATGACTTTTCTACGCATGTGCGGACAATTTCCCCCCCTCCCAGTTTTTTTTTTTTAACGCACTTCACGGATCCCCCTTCTTTCTATAAACGCATGCTCTCGGCCGGTGCCATAGAGTCCTCTTCCTAGGGAGGCCCACGCGAAGGCTGACATTTTGTGTGTTTTGTTTAAGGGGCTCCCAAAGACGGTTACCATAACAGAACTTAGAACTTAGTGGGAGGCGAAACTGATTGCTGCTGTTGCATATGTAGGCTGGTGACTGGTTGTGGTTCTTTTTTTTCCCGCTTTCGCCATTGCTGGCTTAGAGAGTTCGTGGGCGGGGGCGGGCGTCGTGCCTTGGAGGCACCTCGAGGGACAGCCGCCTGCCCTTTGGTGCAGCTTCGCCGGTTGTGTTAAAAACAGTGCTGGTGTGGCCCTGCGTAGGCCTTTCACACGAGAGGGTGAAGGATGTGTTAAAAAGTCTCAGAATTATTATTTTTTGGGGACGGGGAGGGGAAGGTTATCGCTAGGTAACTGGTGCCCTAATTCGTATTTGATTGTGTGTATATATACATATATATATGTATGTATGTATATATGTATATATATGTATATGTATATATATATATAGTTATTTCCTTTTGTTTACTTTTCCTGCCATGAATATGAAAATTATTATTTTCTAGTCCTTGTAGCTGAAAAAAAACCCTGTGATCCACCCAGTTATGGCTAGTACCTGGATTTCTGGAAATGAAGAAAGGGTTTGTAGTGGAGTTTTTTAAAATTTATTGCAATTCAGTTTTGAATTATAAAGATAGTTTTATTTCTCAACAGAAATGAACTGATCTCTTTAAAAAAATCTGGCTACTTTTGTAAAACTTTGTTGGAATTAATTTTTCCATAGGTTTCACTTCATCTTAATACGCTAGCAATATAGTTCTGCCAAATAGGTTATAATACAATTCATTTTCAGTACTAGTTTTTATATTTTAGCCATTCTGCAATGTCTAAGTCAACGTTGTTGGTAGTTCTGCCTTTTTCTCACCCAGCCATGTCTTAAGACAGGCTAATTGCTCTGGTGTAAAAACATTGTAGTAAAAAACAAACAAACAAACTTGCAACTGAAGAAGTACCCAGATATAATGGCTGACTCTTTTTTTTCTCCTCCTTTAATGGATTCATAAGAAAATTTATCCCTTACCATTTGGCAATTTCCCAAAGCAGTATGTCTATGGAGATTCCAGTTGTCCAGGTCATAGTTGTCCCAAAGATGCTTTTTTTGCCTCTTGAAAAAAAAGTATCTTTGGGATGCCAAAGCAGTAGTTAGAAAGCTATAAAGTATAATATAAATCAGTAGCTTTTCCTGTTCTGTTTAAAAATTTCAAAGTTACTCTATACCAATGTTTATAAATAAGAAATAGTGTTGTTACAGTAAGAGTGTATTTGGAATTTCAAGAGTAATTTTGTGATTGATGCACTCACAGAATGGCTAATATACTAAATTTTCCTTTTAACAAAGTGGCTACAATCTAGTAGAAACTTTGTGGGGCCAAGAAGAATAGTTCCAAATAAATATGATGCTAAAAGAAAGGTGAGGCTTACAGCCTAATGGTGTCAGTGCATATATCTGGATGTATATTTGCTTCCATGCATATTGCATTGTTTTGCAGGAAATGAACCACAGGCATGTTGTGCAGAAGCCGTGTTTGCTATATTCTAAGTCATTAATCATGCTTGAAAATCACAGTGATATTAAATTCCAAATTATGTGAAATTTAATGATTGAACTTCACTAAAGTATGTTCTGTGAACATACATATATTATCATACATCATATAATATATAAAATATCTTTTATATGATACGTTATATAAATTAAATTAGAATATTAATTAAAATAGATCATCTAAGGACAAAAACTCTCCCAAATAATTCCTCCTTTGCAGATTGCAAAGAGGAAATAATTATACAAGGTGAAGTCAAGGTGAACCTCACTTGTGTTTTTACCTTCTGCAGTGTTATTGATTATATTATAAAACAAACCATAATATAAACTAACCCAATTTAAATTGTGTATATTTATCTGAAAGTAATTGGAACTTGCGTATAGTTCATTGGACCTGTTGAAATTTTGATGTGACTTTTTTTTAGTATAGATACAGAAAATGAAGCTCATTAAGATAGAAATTGTCCTAAAGTTCTGCAGTAAGAGACATGTACCTTTAGAAAGAATAGAAGAGTTTTCTGCCATCCTAATGTTTGCAGCATAAATGATTTGTTGATTGTTGGCATGGAATACTTAAATTGATTTTACATTACAGCATAAGAATTACCAGAATAGATTGCAGCATGAGTCTATATAAGAAGTTGGCCAATATTTCAAAATCTCTTTTTGTATAGCATGAAGCCTCAGATTTCAGTGGCATGAGATTAGATAATTACTCCCCTAAAGGTTTATAATTATGATTTTCCTGATATGTTTGCAGTGATGTATGTTTTCTTAATGGAAACACACCAGATTCTGCTATTTAGAAAAGTATAGTAAAAAATTCAGTGGCACTCTGTAAAGTACTGGTGGCGTAATTCTCCGTTTCATAAATTATCCAAGTGCCATTCACAGAGTGCACAAATACCCTAACTCAGCAACTGTAGAACTTTGTTTCTAAAATAACTATAGTTGCCGGTAGTCAGTGTAATGATTCCACTGAAGGCTTTAAGAAAATGATTGCTTAATTCAATGGAAGTTCCTTTTGAAGAGAATTATTATCATGATTCAAAACAAAAATTTAAAATTTCAGCTTTCCTGATATAAATTTAAAAATAAGAAAGGCCGTTGAAGAAATTAAAATAAAATAAATTAGTAATCCAAAACATATCTAGCTGTCTACAGATGAACAGCCAGGCAAGAAGCTGACATTAAAATAAAGCCAACTTAGTATCAATCTCCACAAAGAGGAGGATCCCGAATCTAGGTGTTAGACTTTGGAAGAGTTTCTCCTGTCTCTGCACGATATACAACTGTGAAAGGAGAGAAAGAGACTTTAATATTTATGTGGATATATACCAAGAGAAAAGATCCTTTGGATATTAGAGAAAACAACATTGAACTTATTGTAGGAAATCAAGAAAATGTCTGAGAAGGTGGCAGTGGCAAGCCAGTGTAGTACTGTTGCCCAGAAAACTAAATGAAATCAACAAGAGTTAAGCTCAATTTATGGATGCTGGCAGCATATGTTACTGAAGGCATAATACATATTTTTCTTGGAAATAAATTCTATTTCATTATTTTATTTTGTGCATATCTCAAAAGAAGCCCTATTTTATATAGTGAGAAATTTAGTAAATATTAAAATCTCTTGTGTATACCAGTCAGCAGCTTAAACTGTGATATTATCTTTATATATTGCCTTACATTTTCTCATTCTGGATTTTTATCTCATATATTGAGTCGTCTTTTTCATTTTTACCCAGATTAAATATGTGCAGGGAGATCTTTTTACTTGTCCAGAAACAGATTCCTTGGCTCACTGTATTAGTGAGGATTGTCACATGAGTGCTGGCATAGCTGCTATTTTTAAGAAGAAGTTTGGTGGTGTTCAGGAACTTTTGAATCAACGTAAGTAAAGGGCCAAGGTAGAACAGTTCATAGAACCACAGAATCTAGGTACTATACAGTAAAAGTGAGTGTTATGCAAATAGATTCTTTCAGATGACAGATACACTTTTTTATGTCCTGCTCAACTAATACCTTTATAATGTGCTCCGGATGGGGGGTTTTGAGTGGGGGAGTTTCTAGACTAGCTTTTGAGGGCATTTAGTGGTCAGGGACAATTTCCCCTTCTTATTTCATTGTTTCCATTAGAAACCATTTAAAACAAGTATAAACATAGTTAATAGTAACAAAAATAATAGTTATCAAATAATGTTCAGAAAATAATGCCTCAGAAGAGGTTTAACTTGCTGTAGCTGTACAACTCTTTCAAATGGAGCTACTAATTTTCATCATATTGTATGCCCCTGCCTTGTAAGACAAGCAGCCAGAAGTTCTTTACTTTTTGTTACTTTACTTTTTGTTTAAAAGTATCTAAACAAGGCCTGTGTTGTTGCTACAATAGATGAATAGAACCACTAGGTCAGGTGTGTCAAACTCAAGGCCCAAAGGCCAGATACAGCCTGTTGGGTGCTTAAATCTGGCCCATGGGGCCGCCCTGGAAACAGTGGACTGGCCACGGTGCTTCCGCCAGCAAAAACAGTGTGGGAGCCCCAACACAAGTGACGTTGAGCTGGCCAAAGTCCAGCCCCCCCCAGGTCAAACACAACCCTGATGCAGCCCTCAATGAAATCGTGTTTGACACCCCTGCACTAGGTGATTGAAGAGCTTACTTTGTATGTTAGCTCTTGGACTGTGGAAACTATTGATGGGGTAGGAATTTTATCAGTACATTATAGTTTTTAAATGTGCCCTATATGTAGACCATGGGTATCAAAATCGCTGCGTCACATGACATCACGTTTTTCCCTTTGCGGAGCTGGGGTGGGCGTGGCCTGCGTGTGAGGCACCCGACCCATGTTTGACACTCCTGATGTAGACTATTAATATACTTGTTACCAGTTTATTCAGTTGTACTACCTAGTATAATGTACAGTTGTAACTTGGAAATGTTAGAAATATGACAATGATCATATTACTTCACCATTTTAGAACAAATATAAACACGTATCGAATTTTTATCTACACTTGATTAAGTGTCGTTCAAAATTTTTACGTATGATCAATTTATATATTATTTAGTTTCTTTCAAAAAAATATATGAGAACGGGATGACCATGGTGCTTTCTTATATGTTTGTTATGATAGTTTTCAAAAATAATAAACATTTTCGGTGCTCTGAAGATTAGGAATTAACTGATTTTTCTAAAAAAAAATCTGACATAGACAAGAAGACTGGAGATGTGGCTATTCTGAAGAGAGAAACTAGATACATATATTACTTGGTATGTCATTGGGCACATTACTGGTATTTATTCTAGAGATAAATATATGATTTATGCATCAAGAATTATGATTGGCAAAAGTTAAACATCCTCTCCATTGACAAATATTGCTGAAATTTTTAATAGTTTTTCTGAAGGAATCACTATACAAATGCAATGTTTGCTGCATGAGAGATGAGCCGTGATGACTCAGTAGTTAGAAGGCAGCATTGCAGGCTAATTCTGCTGTTTGCCAGCAGTTCGATTCCCACCGGCTCAAGATTGACTCAGCCTTCCATCATTCTGAGATTGATAAAATGAAGACCCAGATTGTTGGGGGCAATATGCTGACTCTGTAAATTGCCTAGAGAGGGCTGTAAAGCACTATGAAGCAGTATATAAGTCTAACTGCTATTGCTGTTACTATGTAATAAGTTTTCAATTGACATCAGATAATCACGGCTTTCCTGTGATAAGTGGCATTGTTTCAATTGTAATCAAATTCAATGATTCATGAAGTTTTACTTCAGTGTTTGCAAATTAAACCAAATCATTTAGAAGTAACATTCTAAATCAGATTTCTTCTAAATAAATTGTGTTTATAATTTGAGTATATTCCGATCATGTCTATCTGAAAGCAAGTAGTGAATGGGTCTGAAGGATTTTAATTAAATTTTATTCATTTATCCTTATCCTCTAAATTATCATCCAAAAAGATTTTTTTAGAATTTATTCTATTTCTGCTTATTTTCACTAGACAGCACACATAACATCTAAGAATTCCTTTGACTGATGGAGTGAGGGTGCCATTTTATATTTATTAGTTGATTGGGTCATATTCTTTAAAACAATCTTGAGATGAAAAACTTGTTATATTGTTTATGGATGGAATTGTAATTTGAAACATGGTTGCATTATTTTAAGAAAGGTCCCCAACTGGTATTTTTTAAAATTCTGTCAGGACATGGAATTCAGTGTCAGTATGATTTCTCTATTTTTTAAAATGACCTTGAGGATTTAACCACAAAATGTCAATATTTGTCAAGGATTCTTGACAAATTATTCCCATCCTAGGAATCAAATTTAAAGTATATGTAATTCACATTTTTATCATTTTAAATATCAGAGAATAAATATTTTCATAAGTCTGCACATGACAATTTATTTTTAACATATTTAAAGTTATAATGATGTAATTAGATAACTGATCTCCAGTATGCAGTCACGCACTGTTTCAGGATTAGAACCTAAGTCTCCAACTAAAAATAAATCATGCCTTTTTTGTTTTGTTTTCCAAGTTAATTACCGTTTTTCTTATTTTTTTTTTGAGCCCCGAAAAAATGGCTAGGCCGTCTTTTTGGGGGTGACTTAATTCCCCCCCCTTGCATCTTCGGGTGGGCGCCGACGGCTTGGATGTTGACCTCGGCGTTGGTGGGGCACTTCGTATCGGGGTCAACGCAGGCAGCACCATATCCGGGTGTGCCACAAAAGTACTTCCTAACGGCAAGCCCCCCCACCATTCCCCCCCATTTCGCATGTTTTAATATAGGCCTTAATTTGGGGGGAGGGGCTTAATTTCATTTCATGCCTATAAAACATGCTGGGACTTCCTATTGGGGGAGGCCGTATTGTTGGAGAAACAGGGTATGTAGGATAGTATATTCTTGTGATCTGTCGTTCATTGGCTTAAATAAAGGCTTCCAACTTTTCCCCTTAATATTAATCACTACATTAGGGATCCCCAAACCATGATCCATGGACTGGCACCAGGCCACAGCATGCCAGAAACAGGCTGCACAAACAAGTAAAGCCCCATCTGCCAGATGCAGGAAGCATGTGAAATCATGCCCCTTCCGGTCCATGGAAAAAAACGTCTCTCTATAGAAACTTGGGGCCAATGCACTACATCATCAATGAAAATTTTTGAGGATTAGTACATGAGTCTTTCCCAATGCAGTCTACAAATCCCATTATAGTAATTAATTTCATAAACTTTAATTTTAAAGATTTAAAATCTAATACATTACAATAGTATATTAACTGCAATCCTTTGTATATCTATCCAGAAGCAAAGTGCATTGGATTTGTTCCTGGGTTAAGGCTGCAATTTGGAACATATTTATCAAGGATTTCCCACTGAATTGACTGAGATTTCTAAGTAGACATATAACATGCAAAATAAAAGGAATCAAATCTAAAATGTGTCTAATCTACATTTTACCATTTTTTTAGATCTCAAAAAACAAATATTTTCATAAACCTACATATGACAACTTAGGAAAGAGTTTAGAAGCTATGAAAATCCATTGTCTGAAAAATGCAGTAACTCACATTTCTATGCCAAAGTAAGCTCATTTTTATATTATAAAGTTACTATACTATATTTACACATTGACAAAATAGTTTTTCATTAATTGAAAATCTTTTACTTTTTTATTTATATTTTGTCTATGTAAAGGCTCCACAATAAGTCCAAAAAAATTCTGGAAGAGCTGCTGACTTTAGATTAAGCACATTCAGAATATATTTTTGTATATTTAAAGCAAAAGACCTGTTTTCATTGAATTTGAAGGTGTTATTAAATGGAAAATAACACTTTTTAAGTTGTGATACATGGTTGTATAACTGAGAAAACGTACAGTGTTTGAGAGCATCACACTTCTTTAGCTTGAAAAATGTGACCGAAAATGAGCTGCTTGTTAAATGGTCATAATTATGGATGAGTTTAGATTTTAGTTTAGTGATATACCTAATAAGCTAGTGAATGAAATTTAGTTCCTTAGAATGTTACATCCACACTTATATTTTTGTGAGATATAAGATTTTTTTCCACATGTGGGCAAATAATAATGGGGATGTTTCTTTAGGATAAATCAATAAGTATGACTATTGAGATATTTGGCATGCGATTAGTATTGTATCATATTTACACCTAATATGTTGGTTTGAACTAATCCTTGTTTTGGCACTGCTTATATGTTTCCTATAAATCATGGTGAAATAAATGTTTCGAAGAAAATACCCAAAAGAGACACCTTGTATGCTGTGTATTTCAGGATTGGTTGTGGACTTGACCGTCTGGACTGGAAGAAAGTTTCAACAATGCTGGAAGAAGTATTTGAAGATACTAATATTCATATTACAGTTTATACTCTTTAATTCCTAGTAGAATTGTCTGTTCTGTTTGTTGTTATATCCTTGTATCAGTATCTTACCTGGCATATGCTGATAGTGTTATCTTAATTCCAGTGTTCACAATTCTTTAAGTCCTCTTCTGCTCTACTCAAATTTAAAAAAAAAGTCAAAATGTACATTCTAGTGTTCAGATACTTTGTGTATCTATCTCCTATTTAGCAATTGGAAGATGTTATTTTAAGAAAAACACTCAACAAAACTGATTTTTTTTTTATCTAGATTGGCAATCGTGGAAAAGATTGGAATAGGATGGAAAATTATGTTTAAATGTTTACCAAAAATAAGATGTTCACGTATATAAATAAAAGACCTTTTCCAAATATGAGTGTTATGTATTTATGTTTTTGAAATACTGCAGTATATCAGTTGTACATGAAACATTATTCGTGTCCACCCAGGTCCATTGTTGAAATGTATGGAGGTGCTATGTAAACATTCCACGAACAAGTTTATACACCTCATAGAATGCCGGATCAGATTTGCTTAGGTTGTGTCTTTAACAGAGTACATATTGCTAAAATAGTAAATGAGTGATAGATAAATTAATGTAGTGTGAATATGAAGGCAATTTTTGACTATCTCCAGGCCAAATTTATAATAAAAATGGATAATGGAATAAAAATCCTATTTTAAATCTCTGTGAAAGTGGCCTTTTCAAATTAGAAGTGTAATTGGGGACAACTTACTGAAAACTGGGTGTGTTTAGTGACATTGTATTCTTGTCATTTGTTTAATTTTAAAAATAATAAAATAAAAATGCTTTAAATAAATTTTGTAAGCAGCTGAGCCAGTATTTATTGGGAAATTATTTCTCATTGATTAACAGAGACCAAACTGTTTTATAATGTATATGCTAATTAGTTCACAAGTGCAAAAGTACTTCTAACTCCCTCAACCAATGCTTTGTGAATGGTCATTGTCAAAATAATTAGTAATCTCTCCGTATTACATTTCCCTTTGATTTCTGCTATTCACTGCATATTAATTTAAAAAATGTTAATGTTAAAAATGTTAATGTTTTAATGTTAAATTTATTTTTTGAAGTTTCTTTGGATGGGACTTTTCTAAACTTGTAAGTGATAGAACTTTGCTTTGATTCTGTTCTTTGTCATTTGTAATGTTTTCAATTCTATGTGAATAACAGCACTGCAGGTTTATGTATTTAAAAAAAAACAGATCTCTACATATATTTTTAGTCTATCAGCATAGCAGTGTGTCAGCTGGAGACTTCTGGTGTTTCCTATTTCAAAGCAGCTCTGGAAAACTGAGTTGAGAGTCCCAAATGTTAAGAGTATACCATGCTTGTTGCTCCATGGGTTGGCACATTTTTTTCCTGGAGAGACAGAAAAAAGAGGCACAAAGTGGTTTTGTCAGCAAATGGTGTTTTATTTCTTGCAAAATAGGAGAACTAATACAAATGTTCCTTATTTTGGCAAGAGTATGGTTTCTTCATTTTTTTTAAATTCATAAAATCCATTTGGCACCCTTTATGTAATCAGAGACACTTTCATAATAATGTCTTCAAACCTAGGTTGATAATTATATAGAGATTGAGATTTTTGAGATTGAGATTTTTGCCAGGTAGGATATGAGATAGACAGCAAATAAGTTTCCTAAACAAACAAATTTAATGTTATACTTTTAAGATTCCAGGTTAATTTTATTGCAATTTATGTGTTTGTTTTAGTGGATTAAAACAACTCTAAAATATGATTTATGTTCTTTTTTATACTCTGATTCAAATTGATGTGATTTGCAGCACGGAATTTGTACTGCAGAAAATGCAGCACTACTGGAAAAATGCATCACTATAATAGATTGTTATATTCCTGTTTAAACAGCATAGCAGATGGATTAGGGAGAGGGATGTGGTTTAGTTTTAGAACATTCCTTTGCATTTAGAAATACTGTTTTAATTCCAGTGAAGTATCTCTCTGAAACCTTAGCAGCTGCCACTGTTGAATTAGATCAGTGTTTTTCAAAATTGGCAGATTTACAATTGGTGGAGTTCTAGGAGTTGAAGCCCACACCTTAAGGGTGCCAAGTTTGAAAAATACTGAATTACAATAGATACATCATATGTTTCGCTTCTTGTAAGACTGATTCCTATATTCATTTGCTATTTCCACCAATCGGTTTTTCTAACTGACCTAATGTAGATACATGGAATCACTGCCATATGGAAGTGGTGAGTGAAGAAAAAATGGATTCCATGGGATTCAGACTCTGGAAGCACTATGGAAAAACAAGCTGATCTGTGAGTCCAGGTTGGAGCAGAAACAATCTTGTAAAGAGGCAATAAAAAGATGGGGTTTTCTTTTTAAAAAGGGGCAATTCTATATTTTGCATGTCTTTCACCAGAGAAAGAAGATCACCTCTTTTCCATGGTTGACTGAAAACCAGGAAAGAAAGACTGCAGCCATGTAGACATCTGTGTTAAAGATTAGAGAATTATAATACATAGCTAGAGATTAGTGAAACATGCAGATTAGAATTCTAATCTAGAGGCCAATTTGAGCTATGGAATTTTTCTATTTTTGTGCATAATCCACTCTGAGGGAATACTGTTGTAGCTGAAAGCAACTTTGGAAATCACTGTCAATTTCTTTTTTACTTTTGTGCTTTTTCAACCTCTAGTGTTCTATGTTTGCATATAAAAGACTTGAATTCTTGATACTTATTCTGGGATCAGCCTTTAGTTAAATATTTCTCCTCGATCAACCTATTGCCAGGACATTCATTTCCTCTTGCTGTCTCCTGAATAAATCTAAGGGGTTCTGCAATGTGCTAGCGGTTGATAAAATAGGATTCAGTATGCCTCTGCAATGAAATGCAGAGATGTGTGCTCTAATCTGCCCAAAGCTGCCTCGTTAAAAACCAAAATAAAGTTTGCTTCTTATGATCTTGACAGCTTGAAGACTTGTGGACTTCAACTCCCAGAATTTCTCCTCCAGTCATACTAGCTCAGGAATTCTGGGAGTTGAAGTTCACAAGTCAAACTTGCAAAGTTCTGAAGACCCTTGCTTATGATGGCCTGAAAAAGTACCCTAAACAGGGAGATTTCAAAATTGCGCTTAACACTAACCTCAGTGCAAAAGTTCAGCAAGCTTTTCATCATAAAATTGGAAGTTCTCTTGAATGTCTTCCCAGGGTGTAAATGCCTTTGCTGCTTCTTCCTCCTGCTCTACAAAGTTTTGCCAGACATACTCAAAATCTTGAGGTTTCATGATCCTCAATTTACAACCAGCTGTTTTCATTTTCTTCAAGGCGGTTTGCATGTCAGGTTCCTCCCACATGAACAGACGACCTATTGCCATGGAGAGATGTAGGTTCTTATTCTTCTGAAGTGCTTTAGTTATCCGATCAGCACAGCCTATACAGGGGCTACAACTGGAGTACCAGGTGACATTGTAGCACAGGCCAGACTCGCACTTGGGCAAGATAGTATTGAAGAAGGCATCTTCTGCATGGGCTGCTGCATGTTCATCTTCCAAGTAGCCCCGTAACATTTTGGGCTCCTTGCCCTGAATCTCTATGATATAGCATAGGAAAGTCTTGTTTCTTCCTGAACTGTATTCGACGTTCTTGAACTGGAAATTGAAAAAGCAGGCTGGAAGCCGTTCCCTGGAGAGAGGAGTGAAAGTATCAATGTGGAAACAGAGTTTATAATGTAACCCCCTGTACGGTTTCTATTTTGTTAAGATAATTTTATAACAACACTTGCTCCCCAAAGTATACAAGTGGGAAGCAACTTGACACTATTTCCCACTTAGAGTTTATATAGAAGCAGCCTCACCAGTTAGTACTGTGGAGTTTGCTTTGAATTAGAAAAAATAAAAAGAGATGATTCACACAATATTACAACTATCAGCAGCTTTTGTTGTTTTTAGAGCTATTTCCCCCCCAATGTAATGCTGTCTTAATGTATTGGGCAATATTTCTTAACTGGATAAAAATTATAGAATTTCAATTTAGTACTTTATTGGGATTTAAACTGGAAAGTTGTGCAAAGGGTAGATTGTGTGCTATGTACTGTTTTTGTAATCTATTGGAGATATAGCCAATTAAAAGCATAATTTATATATTTTATAATGGTGCTGCAGTCTACTAGAGAAGTATATAATTATTCTACATTTTCGTTATCTAAAGCCAGTAGCCAGCAAGCACTTTACTGACATTTTCATTTCTTTTCTACCAGTTTTCCCCTCAGAATGGATTTTTTAAACTCATACACATTACCCAATCAATATTACTTAATATAAAAATAAAATCAATAAAGCATAAATAGTTCTTATTTTACTGAAAATGGATGATATAATTATCAAGTCTTTTAATGTAAACCTTTAAAGACATTTAGCACTCTTTTCTTTAATTGCAATATAATTTAAATGACTTTTATACCAGAAGCCTTATGGAAAATAAATGTAAATCATCTAATGTCTTTATTATTTTTTAAAGATTCCCAAGTGCATGTTCAGTGAGACATGAACATGTGAGAATACTACAGAATATTTTCAATGGCAAATTTGTAGGAAAGGAAAAAAATCTTAATTTTCCTGTCCCAGTGACCCCAGTGACAATGTTAACAATAGCCTAGATGTTGCAGTGTAAGATGATGGTGTAGAAACAGTATGATTGTACCCCCAAAACATTTACAATTTTCTGCAGGTCTGTGGTAATGGCAATGGATATAAGATATTTTTTTGGCTTTTTCATTGCAGAGAATCCCCTTCCCTTCTACTCCAGTCTAGTCCAATTAAGAGATTAAGAAGGAAAGGAAAGCAATCTTCATAACACATGTATTCATAGACTTTGGATGCATGCATGTCTATAATGACCATTGCCAGGAAATTCAGATGTCAGCACCTCTTCAATTATCTTGATTTCTTAGGCAGTTGATCTATACTGCTGTGAAGTATGAGATAAACAGATTTTGAATTAACCTTTCTGTATAATACTGATGTACAATTTATATATGCTGTTGGAAAATTTAAATTAGAAAATTTTAAGCTCTTTGTTTTGAAAAATTGTTCATGTCTGTTATTATTTTCCCTCTGGGTTCCAACTAGCAAACTTTTATACTACACATTTTTGACAGAATGCTCACTATTATTAAATACTGAAGTAGTTTTCTCATTATTTTTATTGACCCTAGGAATTTACAGGTAGCCCTCAAGTTCATTTAGTGACCATTCAAGTTACAACAGCACCAAAAAATGACTTAAGTTATGACCCTTTTTCACACTTATGACCATTGCAGTGTCCAGGGATCATGCGATCACCTTTTGCGACTTTCTGACAAGCGAAGTCAATGGGGAAGCCAGATACCCTTAACAACTGTGTTACCAAATTAACAACTATGGTGATTCACTTAACAACTGTGGCAAGAAAAGTCATAAAATGGAGGAAAATTCACTTAACAAATGTCTTAGCAACATTTGCAAACACAATTGGGCTCAATTGTGGTTGTAAGTAGAAGACTACCTGTATTATATATCCATATGTTATTAGACAAATGTTTTCAATCATTTCAATATGATTATATGAAGGGTGCATCCTGAAAATAATTGAATCTTCCACCCCATAAAACTGTTTTTCTTTTAAAGAAAGGATATATTTTATTTTGGCTAAATACAATTTAAATAAAATAAATGACCAGGTTACTCTATTATTGACAAACAAAACAGAAAATCTTGTGATATCTTTAAGATTAAAAAAATGATTATCTCACAAGATTTTCTGAACCACAGTACAATGTAGTTTCATTTCCACATTGATATAAAATATAGAAGCCCAAAAAGTGATGGTGGCTGTGCACAAGAGATTTATTAGGTGTCACATTTCTTGTACTAATGAATAGATTGGTCTTTATTTAATCTGTATTAAAGAATTTTGAACCTCTTATTTCTAGATTAGTTCTTTTATGAAAAGTTATATTTTAATATTCTTCCACCTGAGGAGAGCCATCTATCTATCCTGAGATCAGTGATAGGATGCTATTCCTGCTAAGTTGCTTATGTCTTAAAACTGGTTATAAAGGAAAATGGAGCAAGGAATAATCTTAATTCTAAAAACTGATCTGGCCTTAGGACACACAGTTTCAGAGATACATCAGTTTGGGGCAGAGTTAAAAGAAACTTTGGCAAGAAAGCAAATTTATAATCTAGTGATTGTAGCTGAAATGTTTTAACTGCCAGGGATAATTAGGCAGCACTTGTTGTTAAGGTTTTTAATTCCTCATTAGCTAAATGTCTTTTTTCATCAGGCTAATATGTAAATAATTGAATCTATAACTTAATTTTGTGGCCACGGGGGTGATGTAAATCTTAGAATAATATTGTTTTATGAATAAAACATTTAAATTAAACCTGATGAAGAAAACTGGCATACTTATTGAGGATGTAAAGAAATTTAACAATATTAAAAAAGCAGGCTACCAATGTTACTTTTATTTTAAATAATATTCAATCTATTAAATAAAGTAATTTGACACAGACTCCTTAACCGAAAATTTTAGGTCTGGGATAAAATTCCAATCTAATCCCTGATGCAATGACGACATGAGGCTGACAGTGAGAAAGACCTCATCATCTGTATGACCTTTAGCTTCTTGGAGATAACATGTAATATAACTATCATCAATAAATTAAACATTATGCTTTCCTAGTTCCCCAGGGTACATAATTTCTAATTTGCTGTTCTAGCAATCGAAACAGAACTAAAGACTAAAAACAGAATTAAAGACTCTGCCTTCAATGAACCTATTTAATTTGGAGCTTGTCACTCTCTCTCAGTCCAACTCACCTCATAGGCTGGTTGTTGTGAGAAAATAGGAGATGGAAGGAGTAAATAAATAAATGATCCTGCATAACTGCTAAATTTAAGTCACGTCTGCTTTCAGTTGAAGGGCACGTGGACTTGAATGACATAATGGGCAGTCACACACCAAATAGATTTATTGAAGTCAAACCAGATATTAAATATGATTTATTCCACTCACGGGCAAGCTTAAAATTACATATTTAAGTAATGTTATATATTTTAATAAATATTAATGAGCAGGGGTAGGATTCTACCAGTTCGCACCTATTTGCTAGAACCGGTTGTTAACATTCTAAGCAGTTCAGAGAACCAGTTGTTAGAAGAAATTACTGGCCTAATCCTGTAAGGAAGGCAGGAAGGAAACATTCTGGTGTTGCTTACAGAAACTGCCTCTCCGTTAACCCTTATTACATTCTTGGCAGGACTAGACTTCCTGTCTCTGGAACGTCTGGAATTTTTTCCCTCTGCTTTGCTGGTACTTTGCTTGTGTGGAGTAACCATTCAAAGTTACAACGGCACTGAAAAAAGTGACTTATGACCATTTTTCACACTTATGACTGTTGTAGCATCCCCACAGTCATGAGAGGCCAGGCGAGGAGATGCGTGCCTCGATGTGAGTGATGTTGAGTTGGCCACACACCCAGCCAATAACATGACCACCAAGCCATGTCCACCCAGTCACATGACCACCAAGCCACGCCTACCACTTAAGCCACGCCCACAGAACTGGTTGTTAAAAAATTTGAATCCCACCCCTGTTAATGAGTATCCTCCAGTCACACATTTGATAATTTTTGTTATGATTAAAATTACAGTTTAACAACTTTTGACAATCTCTGAGTGCCATTGCCTATTGGCATGTGGGGGGGGGGACACACACATGGTCTTGATCTTTCATTCAGTACTACTTTCCTTTGCATTAGAAACTATTACTTTAGGCAGGAGTTCCTGTAGGACAGAATACTTACAAAGAGTTAGAAGAGGGAACTGTGAGGCCTGTGTACCTGTCCTAGCCTTGTTGATCCTATATGCTGCTAAAACACCATTACCTCAAAAATGGGCAAGGTTCTCTGAAAGGAATGGAGAAATTCCATTGCGTGCTTTGGTTCAGCTACCGGAATATCTTGGGGCAGCTTTGATTTAACTGACCAGAAGCAATGCCCAAAGGCATTTTTAAACCATGAACTGGGATTATTTTATAAGGACTGTAGTGCAGGGGTGTCCAACCTTGGCAGCTTTGAGCCTTGTGAACTTCAACCATGGCTGGCTGAAGAATTCCAAGGGATGAAATCCATAAGTCTTAAAGTTGTCAAGGTTGGACACCTCTGCTTAAGTTTATAATCTTACTAGGGAGTTCAGTGGGATTTATTGCTTAAAGGATGGAACATTTGCTTACATTCTTACTGTAGTTTCAAATAATACAATACTCTCTGCACCAACTTACAAATTGGCCCAAATTGCTTTGTTGCTATTTTTGCCATTAGACAAATGACTAAAATTTATTTAGCCATTGCTCCACCCTGGCATGGCTTAATAGGCTAGGCTAGAAAAATGAATGCCTATCGTAAGAACTGAACTTTAAAGAGCTTTCATCTAGAATTTGTCTATAGCAAAGTATAGTGTCAGGGTTTCACTGCAAGCTTCACTTATTAACACTTACTTTTCATAGGTCACGTGTGTTTCTAAAAAAAAACCAAATGCCATAGACAGACAATGATTCCAGCTGACAATGACTTATCTAGATCTTTCACTGACACTTATAGCAATTGTTTTTTTTTTTTAAATGTACAAAATAAAAACTGAACTGCCACAGCTGAGGTTCTAGCATGCCATTTAGGAGATTGTAGGATTTGAAATCCAACAAATATGAGTGGTGCTTAGCTGATGAAAGGTGTGATAAACCAGTTAGTTGATTTTTGATTAAATGTGTGCTATAAAGTCAGATTTGAGTCTTAGCAACTACACAGACTAGTTTCTCCAGGAAATATAATTACAATAGTTAGTTGTAAAAAGCACCAAGATAATGCTACACACTTGATTCTGAAATCATATCAATAATATTTAATTCAATTATAATTTAAATTCAATTATATTTAATAACTTATACTAAACCTTACAAATGCTTAACAATTTTTTTTCTTTGATTCCCCTCCTCTATAAATGATTGCAGAAAAGAATTCCTGATACAGAATGATCACTCAGGCTAGGTTTGTTTTTCTCTTATCTCAATCCTTTCAGAGTTATCCAATGAACTTACCACTCACTGCTGCAATTAGGCCTTTCTGTTTGTCTGATTTTATGTACCTCCAAATAAACTAGCAGTTCTTATTTTGCCAGGGAATGAATTTAGCCTTAAGTTTCTCCAGTTCTATCCTTTCCTTTTCCCTATCAGTGCTTTTTAACAGTTGTTTTTTTTTTATATGCATGCTTTTAAGCAATCTTATGGGCTTTGCAAAGCAAAACTGTATTGCTAAGTCATAGATAAAATTTCTTTTTTTCATTTGCAAGGGGAGAATAATCATTTTAGTGTCACACATGATCATGCTAAAATAAGTGGCTTTGCTCCTGATATACCGTATTTCAGCTCAGCCTGGCTGGATATAATTTAAGTCGCTCCCCATTTTATTGCAGGATTGAGATTCAATCTGCTTTCATTATTAACAGCAAAATCCTCACATGTGAGACTGGCATTTCTTTTTAAAGAAACCTGTGCAAACATGTTAGCTTATGCAGATTCCTAAGCAAGGAGTCGCTCCTATCAACTTGGCAATGAAATCGGGCTCTTACCCTGTGACAATTTCAAAGGGTGGCAATTCCTCCAGTTCCTTCGGCTTTTCTGCCTCCGCAGATTCCTCTGCATTTTCAGCCTTTTCACCATTCTGGGCTACTGGAGGTTGTTCCTGCTTCTCAGCCATCCTGTTGTACTGTAGTGGGTGCCCAAAGACCACAGCAGCGGCCAAGAACTGGGCACAGGCTTCAGAAGCAGAAATGGAGCAGGGAGGGAGGCAGAGAGCTGGAGATGGCAGTTCTCAGGAGCTATATATGGAATGGGTGCAGTGGCAGAGATGGGAATAGGCTAGGATGACCCCTAGCACTCTCGGATATCATCTCCTTCACTTTTAACTCTGGCCTGAGACATTCTTTCGCTCCCCCTTTATTTTAAATATGAAGTGATGAGTGGAGCGTGGGTGGATTAGGTAATGGAGGGATGCAAAAGCAACCTATTTATCCATAGCCATGACAGAAATCTGACACGGTACAGAAGAGCTGGCCGCTCTCCTATGCTCTTGGACTTACTGAGATGCCTTCTTCCTACCCTTGAAGGGACCACCTTCCAGAGGTGCCAAAAAGAGGCAGGTAGCTTTGTTAAAAAGAATGCTCCTGATTTTATTAGGTGGAACTGAAATAAAATATCAGAAGGTTGGGTTGTTGTTGTTGTTTTGCTCAAAACCTGAATTTTGTTCCTGACATGAAAGTGAGAGCTTTAAAATGCCTTACTTCCTAGGCAGATGTATTGAAAAGCACAGACTGGAAGTATTTCAGGTGAAAGTATTGCACTATTATCTGAACCTAATTGATTTCAGTTTTCCTCACCTCCTTAGGCAGCTGACAGAAAACCTGTTGGACACAGTTTGACTTTCATTGAAGATTTAAGAATGCTATTATAAAAGCCTTCTAATGCTCAGCTGGCTTTTTCCTTTGTGACTTACAGTCAATCTGGCAGTGTGAATATTGTGCTCAGCTGGAATTCCAAGTTAAGGGACCAGCACCAACTGCTATTATCTTAAGGCAAGATATTAAAATAAGAATAAGAATGTGCAAATGAATGTGGAAATGTGAAAAATCTAACTAGATGAGGTATGAAATTGATTCTGCTTGAGATATGGGATGTGCCATGGACTTTGCAGCTGGTTTATAAGAAGTAAAGACGGTTCCTTCTCTGAACTGCAGTTGGTGCTGGTGCAAGGAAATGGAAGTGCACTGATTTTTTTTATTAGAGCATTTAAGAAATATACTGCAATGAATATACATTATTCATATTCACTCAGCCATATTATTTTGCAAATAATTGTATTACTGAGACATGCAAGATAGAAGCTAAAGTATGGCAGATAATCTTGTACTTTGTATTCACTTTTACAACCTTTAAAAATGCATTATTATGATATCAACACTGCTTAGATGGTTGACATACTGTTATACATTGATACATCCCATGATTCTCAATTATTTCTGATAAATACCTATTCTATAGAAAGGCAATTTGAAAAAATAAGCACACAACAAAGCACTCAACAAGCATATTTGTAAAACGTATACACTTGCAAATATGTATTAGCCACATTGACAATTAGAATCTTTGTGTAACTTACAAATATAATATGTGACGTGAATTTAAAACTCGTGACATTTTTTTCCACTTCAGCTTATGAAAGATGAGGCACTTTTTTTTGGTGATTCTTTTACATTCTGCAGCTCTTTCAGAATTGAATATTTGAAAACAGTATCCAGAATGGTTGCAAATATACCACAAATGGCTATGTTAGAGAGAACGGGGAACAGTGAAATATCCTGTCTTGTAAAATTAAAAGTAGATTTTTAAAAACAAAAAAATAATCCAATAAGCCTTTGTAAGCACATTTCAGCCTATCTAGCTCAAGTTTTTTTTTCTAAATGAAATGTTTTATTTTTTTTCTTCAGTTTTTCTGTTTAATTTTCTGTTTAATACTTACAAAATGACTGCCAATGTTCAAGCTTCAGAATTATTTAGCAGAATTTCCACTGTACCAGCACTGATTAACAAGTAGTACCAGGACTTGATTGTTGGGATGTGTAGAACAGTCCTGGTGCATTTGGTAAATTGCATTGCTGGTGTGGGTTTTGTTATAAAAACTGGTAAGAACAAATGCTAGATATATACCAGTAGATAGCAACCATCTATATATATTGCAGCGTAACCCATTCAAGGTCCACATTGGACCATAACTCCCATAATTCTAAGCCAGGTAGCTGGGGATCACGATATTGGTTGTACCAAAAATCTAAAGGGCACTCTTTGATTTTATCTTATTAGGAAAAGTGTTTTTTGTTTATTTTTTAAAAACAATATGAAAAACTTTTGGCACAAAGTTTTTATTGTTTTTTCCCTTCAGTGTTAACTTATGTTTAAATTCCAGTATCCCAAAGCTATGACTGTCACATTTGACATTTTACAGAGGAATTATAGGGATGGGAATCCTGAGCTGCTGAGTGATACTCTTCCCCACCCCTTCTTGTGTCCTTCTGGCCTGCTTTATTTTTGGAAACTCTTGACTGCTGGATTAATCAGGGTCCCATCATTCTTACTGCTTTAACTTTCACTGGAGCCAGCCAAGCCTTGCAGAACAATGTTCAGCTTTAATCTTATCTCTGGAATGTAGATCTGGGCTAGAAGTTTTCTTTCCTCAGCTGCTGCTGAGCTCCTTTTAGGGCAGAACTCGGCATTTGTACAGACCGACCACCAAGGGCTCTGCCATAGAGCAGCCACAGATGTTACGTAGCGATGCTAAGCTTTGCAGATCAAATGGTTTATTTGATTCTATACAAACACAAAGCTAAGCTTATTTGCAGACATAAAAGGGTGCACGTGCACGCATACCGCACCCTTCTACCCCTTCCCCCCCCACCCAATCTATTAGAAATAGAAAGAATTGCAAAACAAAATTAGGTGATTCATCTTATGCCTGGTATAAAAAAAAAGAGATTTTGCCCATTGTGTAAGAAAGTATGTTCTCTTCCCCCCAAACCAGAATGGGGAAAGTATAACAAGAAGCAGAATCCTGGATTTTCCTAGCCCAGTTATAATTAAGAAAGTCTCTTGATTGAAGATGTGGAAAACTGTAACATGTCATTGTTAGCCACAGTTTGATCCAATGTGAGGCAACTGTCTATGAAAACCTTAGGGTAGTGGTGGCTCACCTTTTTCGGCTCCCATGCTGAAAATTGTGCACACTCGCGTACACGCACTCACGTGCCAGCACCCAGAAGGCAATGCGTGCGGGGAGGCCCCCACGCCCCTGCGTATGCGTATGCATCTCTGTGCATGTGCATGCGACCCCCCTGTGTGTGTGCACCACGCATCTCTGTGCATGCGTGCATGATCCCCCTGCATGTGCTGCACATCTATGCGCATGCATCTCCCACGCACCCCGGCACATGTGTGCCAGATACCCAACAAGCAGGTCAGGCGCGTGGCATGCACACATGCACAGTAATGCTCTTCCAGGCAACCTCTTGCGTGCCGGCAGAAGTGGCTCTGCCATAGGTTTGCCATCACGGCCTTAGGGAAATTGATGTTCTCAGTATGGCTCTACAAGCCATTTGTTAAAATAGTGGTGATCCTTATGCAAAACTGTCTTCTATAAACTGGCATTCTCTAGATGTGACGGACTTCAATTCCCATAATCCCTTACAAATCATTGGCTATGCTCAATAGGGATTATGAGAGCTGAAGTCTAGATATCTAGAGCTAGAGGATATAGAAACAGCTGATAAAAGTTTTCCCCCCTAGGAAATACATATGAGACAATATACTTAGGTGTTCTATATTCTGAATATGCAGTAACATCCACATTGGATAACTTATCAGCTTTAATAATTAGGAAATTTAATTTATGTTAGGGCTGCTTTGATATATAAATAAATAGAGTTTAAAAAGAATGGTTGCAATAATTTTCTATAACATACCTTTAATGTCCCCATTTTTTAAAAAAATTCATCATTTTTATAAATTCAATTTGACATGAGTCATTTTTTCTATGACAGTTCAAATGTCACCCTGACACACATGTCTGATCCAGTTATGTCCAATATTATTCAGTACTTCTATATTGCCCTGCCAAAATTGTCCTGCAATCTGTCAAGTTTATATAAAAAATGCAGAGATTCTTATTCTTTTTAATGTTCAAACATATTAAAACAGTAACAATCTTAATTTCTACTACCTATAAGGCTGGTCAATCACAATTTATGATCTAGTCCTAACTCCACCCAGTGTGATTAAAGCTAGCTTTTATCTCATTGTCTTATAAATATTGTGCAGCAGTCAAAATTGCCTTGGCTCTATCCATTGACCGCTCTCCTTAAAAATATGTTTTTGTTTAGGATCTTTTGTCGATCAATTGTTTAAGGGATGCTTTGTTGGGTTGTGTGCCTATGTTAGCATTGCTAGATTTCCAGCAACCTACCTAGGTTATTTTCTAATTATAAAGAACTCTAAAGAGCAACAGCCTCACTGGTACAGGATCAGAAAATACTTAGCTGGCCAAAGGCAAAAGTGAAATAAGACACTGTATCATGCAGAGATGAGGTGTGCTCTTTAGAATAAAAGGGACAGCTGGTTATCAAAATAAAACGTATCCCTGGATATGTTGTATGGCAGTAATTCCAAAGCTTTACTGTCCCTTTCTGTGTAACTATTGCAAAACAATAAACAATGAAATAGTAAAGGGGGAGGGAACGTCCTTTGTTTTTCCAGCTTCATAGGCCATAGCATCTCTCTGCCCCACTCCTAATTCTTGGGAATTTTTCCAGGAGTGTCAGGGATAAATTGATAAGATTTCATAGCTGTCTCTACATTTGGTCCCTATTGTAGAACCATGCTCATCATGGAGTAGCAGCAACGTGGGGGGAAAAAAATCAAGGGGAGAGATGCTCATGTCATATGACAGCTTGCATTGTCTTTCTAGAATTAGTTGGATTTTTTCCCCATACTTATCAGCATCCTTAATAAGATTTTCAGAATGCAAGGACACCTGTAGGAGATGACAACATGAGTTAATTCAACATAGTCTATTGCAATAGATATGCTTGAATAATTTAATAGCTAGGTATATTTTATAAATGGGTGTAAACTTAGATAACCCATTTATTTTATGGAAATCAAAGAGTTCTGGGACATAAGTTTTGACTAGGCAATTCTGTGAGACATGAGAATGGGAAGTAGCAATTTACCATTCATCATACTTCCCATTCCTGCTTATTTGAGATTTCCATAACTAAAGTTTCAGAAAGTAAATGCTATTGCATA